ATACTCTATCATCCTCCATTTTGGCCAGCATGGCCTCATACTTGGGATCTGCATGAGGGGCGGCGACGGCGGAGTGTGCTCGACGGGCCTCCATTTCATCAAGCCGGTGCTGGGGGGCCGCAATAATCTCGTCGCTGTGATCCTTCGGGAGGGCCTCCGCCCCCTGCGAACGAACACGGGCCGAGTGGGCCTGGTTGATTTGATGCCTTGCATCATCTGCATGGAGTGGTGCCTTGCCTTTGTTTTGAAGGGGACGCCTCTCGTCTTCCCTCGAGACGGAACCCTCGCTTTCTTGAGGTTTTTGGAGCGCCTTTCCTCCAAGGCAGTCTTGGACCCCTCGGCGGTCTTGCGCCCCTCCGAGCCTCTCGAGGGCGGAGGTTCGAGGCCCCTCCTTGTTCACACCGCGTTGGTCCCGGGATTGGACCTCCTGGGATGCGGTATCTTGGGCCATGACCCCCTCGTTGTTCCCTAGCCGAAGGATTGGGTTCACGAAGGTGGGCGGAGGGGGGGGGGAGGAACGACGTTCTCCCCGACCTGCGGCTGAAACGGTACCAGAGTGCCGAAGGCACCCGGGTTTTGGGTGAGTGTTTGGATGAAGGCGGAGAATGCCGAATGTACGTCAATAGTGAGAACCGGAGGGCTCACTTGATTTTTGCTCCGGTCTCTCCTCTGGGTTTTGATGCCAAGACCGGCATCAGGGGCATTTTGCTGAAGGCGCAGGTCAACAGCAGCCTGTCCCAACTCAGCGATGACCCCGCCCTCGGGAGCCTTGTTAGAGGCTCTGGGGGCGTTGACTTCACCGAGGGCCAGGTTGTTGTCCTCAAGGTTCTTGGACTGAGCACAGGTGGTTCTTCCCATTTTGGTAGGTGTTTTGAGCTGAAGGGGAGGGTTTCTTACTTGATTGTTCGACCCTCTCAACGAGAGCACCAAATGATGGATAGTGTACCCGGGGGTAGTTTATCCAAGGGGTTACTGCAAGGAGTAACTTAGAGAGAAGTGAGAGCAAATAAGTAAGAGAGATAAAGGGTTCAAGTGTGTATTCGAATTGTATTGAGCGTAGTTTACAAATGGGGAAAGGGGTGCTATTGATAGCATCAATAAATGCTAGATAGGGACACGTGTCAACAATCTGGTGGTCGAGGGGTCACCTCAACCGGGGTGGCACTTGCATTCGCATGTGGCCGCATTAAATGCGGTGGTTGGATGTGACGTTTGTACTTGGTACGTTGATCCAACACATGTGGATGGGAGATCCAGTCGAGGAGGATGCCTTCAGCTGTAGATGACAGCCCGAAGGCTCTGCGTACCGGAGGGCTCATATTCCCGGGGGCTCCAATTGCCGAAGGCTTCGTTTTTAAGCCTTGTGCTCTTGCGATGTTTCTGAGCCCTAGTCTGTCACTGGTGGCCTTCGGCCATGGGGCCGAAGGCACCCCCTCATGTATCACACGGGGTGCTTAGAGCTCCATTTTGCTGGGCTTGGCCCGCTTGGGCCTCTTGGGCCTGATTGTAATAGTAGGAGTATGTGGGCCGAGGGTCCATGGGCCATATACTCCATCATATGCTTATCCTTTAAGTTTATAGTTCATTCCTCAATCTTTTCATTGCAAGCATAAACTAAGTTTAATATACTTCCATGTTGATTACCATAGTAATACACAATTAAATTATAAAGGCTAAATCACAATTTATTGGTTGAGAACTTTTATCAAACACCTAGTGTGCATAAAGGTTGATCCCTAACTTTAGCTAATAAATTAGCTTTTGAGCTCATACTAATTACAAAAGTATATCTAAAATAAAGGAAATACAACAACATACAAGAAATATTACCTAAAACCAATTGTAGAGCAAGAAATCACTTCTTCTCCAACTCTTCAAGAGAATGCAAAAATAAAGTATAAGAACTGAAATTTAAGGTGCAAGGATGGTTTGATGAATTGAGGGATTTATATAGGCCAAAGAATGACATCTTTTAGTCTATTGGAACCAAACAATCAGGTATATATGGAAGAAATGTTTGATCAGATCATATGGAAGGTAAAGTTTTTCCATCAAATATATGATGAAGCACGTCGCTGTGTTTTGTGTAGGTTTCGACCCAACCGGCATCAGCTTCAGACCTGACTTGCGCCGGCTTCAGACCTCACGGGCGCCGGTTCTTCTTCAGCGATGTGTACATTCGTAAAAATATCATAACCGGCACCGGTTCACTCACTGGTCGCTCATCTTCTGTAATAAAACACCAGACCGGCGCCGGTTCTAAGGGCATAGCGATGTCGGTAATCCCCTGTTGTGCAATTTTGGCTCTTTGCTCTGTTTTTACTTTTGACACCTGTAGTTGACTCTAAAGTGCCGGTTCTTGGTCCCCTTTGCCATTTGACTCCCGTTTCTTCATTCTTGATTGCTTTTGCATGTTTTTGCTCAAATTGAGATTTTTACCTATTTCTTCTTTGAGTCTTTGTACATATAATCATAATTACCTATATAAAATATAGGTAACTATCATGCTTATCAATCATTTTACGAAGAAAAAAATGTACGAGTGACACCATTTCAATTCTTTCAAAAAAAATTAGTAACTATTTGAAGAATCGCTAATCCAATATGTGTGAACATTTTCACAGACAAAAACTTGTATTTTGTCTGTAAACGGAATTCAAAGACAAAAAATTACCTTTCACGGGGGTCGATATAAGAGTGAGTATAGGAGTAGTGTACAAATAGCAGAATCGTTAAATCTCAGCCAAAAAAACTTTTGTTGATAGATAATAAAAGATATCAAAACCATAAAGCTATCTACTTTAAGTTAAATGAATAACAAATCCAACTAAACTCAAAGAATCATACTGATTTCAAGTTTGACTTTCTCTTGTGAACCCTCATCGATCTTGCTTGTGAGAAGATAAGTTCATATTCTTTCGATGTTCTATTTGTGGAGGAAGGTTATTAATGCATTCAGCTTGTTTAAAGTCATACTTAGGCGGGTTTTTGTTGTGCAATAAATATTCATTTCACACTTGTATCTTGTTTAATATTCGAGTTTTAATTACATTCATCGGGAAGAAACACATGTCATTGACATTGGACATGAAGAGGATCGAGACTGATATGGATGCTTCTGGAGTTGCTTATCAGTGCCACAAGTTGTCCCAAAGAAGCATAATCAGTGCCACACACTACAAAAAAAACACGGGATTGGCATGTATTTTGGCAGGGATTTTGGCAGAGAAATACCAAATCCGTGCCAAAAACATTTTGGCACGAGTTATTTGGCACGAAAAATCGGTAAGTACGTGCCAAATTCCGTGTCAATCCTGTAATTTTTTCGTAGTGACAAGTTGTCCCAAAGAAGCACAATCAGTGCAAGTGACGCCCAGGCAAAACAAGTATAGGAAATTGAAAGTTACTAAACACCTGTTGATATTATTTATGTACATTTACGTACACATGCATGCAGTGATATTGATTATTTAATATTATTTATCTCTTGTACCAAAGGATATGTAACAATTTTAACTACTAGCTAGCGTATAGGAGTAAATTACTCAAGCTGGCATCTAACGTAGTGCGCAGCTGTAGGACTTCAAATGTATTTATTTTCCTTTTCGTTCAATTGTGAATACAACGTGAATTACTATTCCATGATCCAAAATTCAATTTGGTATCAGAGCAGCTAACGATCCATGTTTAATCTCCGACCGACTTCACCAAACATGGTGAACAATACCCACGACACGAACTCCGACCGAATCACAATGAACGCCATACAGGCGATTGAAATTGAAAAAGGGAATTATGATATGACGTCGACTCCAGGAGATAGTGTTGCACGAGCACCCAATTTCACTGGTGACCAATGGAAGAACCTTATCTGACTAATGGAACAGTGTAAGGAATCATCTTCACACGATAAAATCTCAGGTATGAACACTAGTAATGTTACTTGGCTATTAGACTCCGGTGCATCTTTTCATATGACCGGAAAGGAAAGCTTGTTGATGAACACACAGAAAGTTTTGCCGCTGCCTTTTATTTACCGAATGGAGATGTTACATATGCTACGAGCAAAGGGGAGGTGCAGTTGAGCCAGGGGATTACACTTAAAAATGTGTTATTGGTTTCTCGATTAACATGCAATTTAATCTCATTGGCACAATTGATTGATGACCTGAAATGTGGTATATTTTTTACTAATGATATATGTGTGATACAGGACCTACATTCGAGGAAGCCAATTGGAGCGGGTGAGAAACGTGGAGGAGTATACTATTTTCATAGTTTGGATTTGGTACGTGCATGCTCAATAAAGAAGGAGGACAACAGTGACTTGTGGCACTCCCGGTTAGGACATCCATCAGTCAAAGTTTTACGTTCCATTATTTCTTTTAATGACTCTGCGTTGGACACTGGTTTGAATAAAAATTGTGACACATGTTTGTGTGGGAAAAAGACTCGTGACGTTTTTCATATTAGTAATTCTAGAGCATTTGAAATATTTGATCTCATTCATTGCGATGTGTGGGGTCCTTATCGTTTTCCTGCGTCATGTGGTGCTAGATATTTTCTTACCATAGTTGATGATCATTCTCGTTCTGTATGGACTTTCATAATGAAGGAAAAAAGTGAAGTATCTCGGATACTTAAACAAATTATTGTCATGGTGGACCGACAGTTTAACAAAAGAGTGAAAATTGTTAGGAGTGACAACGGGACAGAATTTCTAAGTTTGAAATCTTATTTTTTGGATACTGGAATCCTTTTTCAAACAACTTGTATGTACACTCCACAACAGAACGGGAGAGTTGAACGTAAACACAGACACATTTTGAATATTGCCCGTACTCTTCGTTTTCATGCAAATTTACCTATTGGTTTTTGGGGTGAATGTGTATTGACCGCATGTTATCTCATTAATCGGTTGCCTTCCTCTGTTTTGGATTACAAGAGTCCTTATGAATTGTTGTATAAAAAGACACCCAAATATGATCATCTTTGTGTATTTGGTTGTCTTTGTTATGCACATTCTCATGGCCCAAATAGAGACAAATTTGCTTCACGAGGAATAAAGAGTGTTTTTTGGGATATGCCTATTCTCAAAAGGGATGGAGATTGTACGATCTTGAAGGACAACGTTACTTTTTTTTTGGATGAATTGTAAATTTGTATTAACACCCAAAGAAAAACTATACATCAAAAAGTTCTAGATCTCCTAAAAACCCCCCACCCCTACCTAGTGTAGGGGTTAGGAGAGGTTTTTTTCTGATCTAATTCAGAGTAGAAATCAAAAGGGGCCTAAGTATATAATACTAAATGCCCTAAACCTTACAAAAATAAACCAGTGCTGCAAGCATGCACGCACATAGATCAAGCAGAGTCAAAAAATCAGGCTATAGTTAAAGGAGGTTGTAACACATTCTCCCTTAACCCAAAAATCAAAAACAGAATGCGTGATGCAAGTTGCATCCACGTTACTCCACAAAACATCATATGCCGCGTCTTCAATAGTTGTAGTCCAGCACCCATCATCAAAATTTGATCATCTCACACGGGTATATATTGAAAAGTATCTTATATACCACGTGTTTAATCTTTGCAACAATTTCGTCTTCACTCTTGCTTGCATCATCAAATCGGCTAGCGTTCCTAGCATGCCAAATGTGGTAGATTGTAGCGCAAAAGGCTGCCCGAACTGCTTTCCCCTTCAACTTTGACCCCTTATGCTCCTTCAAGATCCACTTGACCGAGCTAGACATCGTAGTCATTTGATGCGTCATCCCTAGCCAATTCTTGATTCGCTCCCATACCCTACAAGTGAAAGGGCAAGCAAAGAAAAGGTGTGGCATTGTCTCCAAGCCACCCTTGCAAAGATCACATCTATTCACTATATGCAAATATTCAAGATTATCCTGAGTAGGTAACCTATTCCGGAAAGCAAGCCATACATTAAAAGAAAACTTGGGAGGGATATAAGATTTCCAAATAAAGCTCATCCATACCCTAACCGTCCCTTTTGTTCTCAACAATTCATAAATTTTGCTAGAAATCAACTTACCATTGACGGATCTAGAGGCTAAACCCATTATGGTATCATTTTGGTTATTAAAATGTCCTTTAATTTTGTCCCTTATTGAGGCCAAACTCTTCATGAAAGTCGAATCCCGGCTATGTGGGACAAAGTCCCACACGCTTTTACCATTGAGGTAAACGCCATTGACTCATTTCACCCAAAGGGTGTCCTTTTTAAGGTGGACATCCCAAAGCGTTCGGGACAGAAGGGCTTGATTCCACACCTTGGCATTTCGTATGCCAAGCCCCCCTTCCTCCTTAGGAAGGCATATATCATCCCATGCCACTTTGGCATATTTCCCTCCCCAAATAAAAACTCTACAAATTGAAACGATACGATCCAGGATAGTCCGCGGCACGGGGAAGACTTGTAGCCAAAAAGATTGGACCCCCTGGATCACCGATCTAATTAACTCAATCTTCCCGGCATATGTAATGGATTTCCTATTCCAAGCGTTTAAAAATTCTAAAATCGTGTCAAGTAGCGGGGCATATTGTGCCACCGAGACCTTGAGTGGGGCAAGGGGAATTCTAAGGTACTTGATCGGGAATTCACCCTGCCCGACCGGGAATTCACCCTGCCCGAAATCAATAATATCCAAAATGTTTTGCAATTCACTCTCGTAGACACCCCAACAAAAATGTTCGACTTGTTATAATTCACCCCTAGGCCCGATGCGTCCCCAAAATCTTGTAGGGCTTTGACAAGAACTGTAATGGAAGCCTTAGCGCCACTAGAGAATAACATTAGGTCATCCGCATAGGCCAAGTGTGAAATATTAAGAGAAGCACATTTCGGGTGAAAATTAAAATTCTTTTCCTTGGTTTTCAAATTAAGAAGTCGAGAAAAGTATTCGAGACAAAGCACAAACAAGAGAGGAGACATAGGGTCTCCTTGTCGTATGCCCCTTTTCCCTTCAAAAAACACATATAACGACCCATTTAAAGAAACTGAAAACGAGGCCAATGTCACACACTCCATAGTCCATTCAATGAATGTCGAAGGGAAGCCCAAGCCCTTGAGAACCGCTTCAAGAAACTCCCACGAGATAGTATCATAGGCCTTTCGCAAATCCACCTTAATCATATATCTCGGTGAGATTCGCTTCCTCGAATATCCTCTAACAAGTTCCTGGGCCAGAAAAATGTTATCAATCATGAGGCGGCCATCCACAAAGGCACCTTGAGCATGATCAATTAATCCCGGAAGACACGGAATCAATCTAGTCGCAAGTATCTTAGTGATGATCTTATATATCACATTTGTACACGATATGGGTCTATAGTCGGATACCTTTGGAGAATGATTCGTTTTAGGGATAAGGGCTATAATAGTATGGTTAATCTGTTTTAGCAACTTCCCTGAACGAAAGAACTCCTTAACGTCCAGGACTATGTCATTCCCAATCACATCCCAATTAGCCTTAAAGAAAGCCGATGAACAGCCATCAGGCCCCGGAGCCTTATCATTGCCAATGTCAAATAGGGCATTTTTAATGTCCAAAGAGGTAATCGGGGAAATGAGGCTCTCATGGGCACTTGGCTCAATTTTTGGACCCGAGGGTAAAACCGAAGGGTCCAGGGCATTGCATTCACTATGTGTTCCAAATAAATCAACAAAGAAGTTAACAAATTCATTTCCAACTTGATCTAGAGAGGTAGTTAGCGTACTGACATCCAAAGTAAGTGAAGATATAGTGTTTCTTGCCAAATTCCTATTAACGATTGCATGGAAATACTACGTGCACTTGTCCGCTTCGAGAATATGTGTTGCCTTAGCCCTTTGTTGAAAAAAGGTTGCTTTGGCTTCACCAAGAAAAACAGCCCTCTTAGAAGCTTCGGACAATTGGCCCTTAAGTTCTAGATCCCCGGGATCTTGAAGCGCCAACTTATGCAATCGCTTAAATTCATCCTTTTCCATCCTTGCTCTATTAGATATGTGGCCAAACTCCATGACATTCAAAGACTTCAGAGGTCTTTTGAGTCCCCTTAGCCTTTTTACCAAGGAGAATTGAGTCGTTCCAACATAATTCTGGCTCCAATGTGTGGCTAAAATGTTAGCAAAATGCGGATGTTTTCACCACATATTAAAAAATTTGAACGGCTTGGGTCTAGAAGAGGAGTTTAGGAGTATTGACACAACGGAGGCCGTATGGTCAAACTCTACCTCCATTTCGTGGAATGGACCCTACACCCAATACCGTTAAGTCCCCATCCATCATTAATTAATACTCTGTCGAGTTTAGCCCAAAGTGCACCTTTATTCAAGGTTGTAAGGAATATTTGTAATTAGATTTTGATGATGCTAGATTAATTAGGACTTTAGAGTACCCCTCTTCAGATTTAATGTATTAGATTTTCCTTTGTAAAATTCCTTAGCATAATCGACTGAGCAGAAGACCTACAGAACAGAAGACCTTCTAAAGCAGAAGGGCTCCAAGGGCAGAAGACCCTTGATAAGGCATTAGTTGAACAGAGGACCTTTGGTTCTCTGCTTCAGAACAGAAAACCTCAGGGTCTCTGTTAACCTTTACTCTGACAGAAACCCTCCTGGTTCTCTGTTGGATATCCTCTCAACAGAAGTGCTCCAGACCTTCTCTGATCAACTCTCTGTTAAAGACACCAGAAGGCCTGACACTTAGAAGAATTCCACAAATCCGGGAAATCAACGGGAAGATTCCTTCAACGGCTAGGAGACTTGAACGGAAATGCTACACTGCACGCATTAAATGCACATTTAATGCTCCCCATGCTCCGTAGAGTAATTGCAGATGATTGGCCGCAATGTCAGAATTACTTTATCCCAAAATAGTAACCCGCCAACTTTACCGGGTCCTACTGGTCAAGTCAACTGCTCGCTCATTTAATGCAGTTGTCCTCCTTCTCCTCCAACGGGAAGACAACCTCAGTATAAAAGATACACTACGAAGAACAACTGGATAACTTTGCAACTTCGCTAACCTTTGCTACAACTCTGCATACAAGAAATTCAAACGCTACAAAGCAAAAAGCCTCCTTGAAATTAACACTTCATCATCCTCTACAAGAGAAGGCAAAAGTTGGAAAAATCCTTATTTCCAACTCAAGCAAAGTTCCAAGTGTTCTTCAACTCTTCAAGCTCATCACATACAAACTCTTTGTAACGAAGCAAGTTGGAGGAACCCCTGTTCTAAATAGAACCTCTTCTTTCACAAGAAGGACGTCCAAGTACCTAGAGTTGTGAAGTGGTGATACTTCTGGGAAAGCTCAGTGAAAGGACCAGTCTTAGGGAAGCCGGAAGTGCATCCAAGAAGACATCTACACTTGAAGAAGACGTGGAGAGCTTCTTAAGTGATAGGGCTAAGGCATTGTAAACGGAAGTTTTTACAGCTTAGTGGAACAGTGGACTAGAGGAACAAGTTGTTCCTTGAACCACTATAAAAAGCCCTGGTGTCATTTACTTACTGCTTTTCATTCATAGTTTTTATTTGAACCGTTTGACTCCAAAGACTTGGTATCTGTGTTCAACAGAACTGGTCTTGTGAGTTAACAGAAGGCCTACTGCCTTTGCTTCTCTGAGGCTATTAACATAACTCCCTACCAGAACCCCATCCGCTGCCAGTCTGTTCTGCCAACAGAACAGGCTATTCTGTTAAATCTGGTACTTAGCTTGAAAAAGTTAAAAACACCAATACAGTCTATTCACCCCCCCTCTAGACTGTATCCAGTACAACCGGGACCAACAAGTGGTATCAGAGCCTCCTTGTTCTAATAATCTCTTAGGTTATTTCCTGAACAAAGATCCACTTGTTTTTCTGTTTTACCTCATTTTTATATTATATAATGGATCACTCCTTGTCCAAGAATCTTATGTTTTCTGATTTTAAGTTTGATGATTGGAGGATCCGGATGAAGGCACATCTTTGTGCTCTTCATGATGAGATGTGGGAAGTACTTGACATAGGACCCTTCACAAGCTTCCAGAAGGTCAACCCAGAACATGCTATTGACAACACTAGACCTCAGATAATCAATAAGGCCAAATCTGAGTGGACAAATGAAGAGAGAAGGAAGTACAATCTGGACAACATTGCTAAGGACATCCTTTACAAGTCCATTGATGATAGGTACTTCAACAGAATAAAGAAGTGCAAAACTGCAAAGGAAATCTGGGATACTCTTGAGCTCATTGGAGCTGGTGATGAGCAAGAGAAGGACAACAAGCTGACAATAGCCAACAAGAAGTTTGATGACTTCAAACTTCTCCCTGGTGAAAGCATCTCCAAGATGTATGACAGGCTCCTCACTCTCACTGGAGAGATCTCTAAGCTTGGCAAGGAACTCACCACCAAAGAGATCAACCTGAAGGTGTTGAGGGGACTGCCCTCGGCATGGAAGATGAAGGTGGTTGTTGTCCAAGCCAGCAAGGATGTGAAGACTTATCCCACTGATAAGCTCATTTCAGATCTCAAGGCTCATGAGTTTGAAATGATTGAAGAAAAGGAAGATGTACCAGAAGAGAGGACCACTACTGCCCCCACTGCCAGCACATCAAAGGTAAATGATTTTGACCCTTCAGTACTTTTATCTGACGAATATATGGCTGCTTTTGCTAGGAGATTCAAGAAGTTCATGAAGAATCCCAAAGATGGAAGAAGTCCATCATTCAACAAAAAGCCATTCCAGAAGGTCAAAGCAACAGAGAGCAGTGGTGAGCTTCTCTGTTACAACTGCAGACAACCTGGACACTTCAAAGCAGAATTTCCACATCCAAGAGTGTCCAAGAAACAAGGGCATGATGGAGAAAAGAAGAAGTATGAAGACAACTCCAGAAGGAGAAAGGCACTTGTGACAAAACAACTTGAGAAAGACCCTCTGTCAGAGACAGAATCCAGTTCTGACTCAGATTCTGATGAGGCCTTCTGTTGCCTTGATACTGAGACAGAAGACCTATGCCTCATGGCTCATTCTGATGATGAGGTAACCTCTACTTCTGAATCTAGTTTTTCTTCGGTAGGCTTAGCTTTTGATTCTGATTAAATGTCAGAATTTTGGGAAGAGTTTAAGGCCATACAAGCCACTTATTCCTCTGTAACAGAAGAAAACAGTAAGTTGAAAGCTGAAATTCTTGACTTAAAGAAGGAGGTTGAGATCAAAATCAATCTTCTAATTAAGGAAAGAGATCAGCTAGAAACTGAAAATGTTTCTCTTCTCAAGAGAATAAGAGAAATAGAGCCTCTCGAGATTAAGTACAAAGCTTACCAGAAGGCCCAGTCTTCCATGGAAAAGATTGTACTTGATCAACAAATTGGCACTGGCTTTGGTCTTGGTTATGGCTCAACAGAATCAGATGAGCCTTCTGTAATGCCTAGCACCAGTGTTGCTAAGGCAGATAAGGTCATAGTGCCACTGATTTCTAGCCCCATTTGTCAAGCTGGTGTATCTGGCACCAAGGTTGTTCGTGAGGAAGTCAGACCAGAAAAGGGAAAGATAAAGGTTCAACATAAACCCTTTTTGAAAAATAATGAACCTGGCAGAAAACCTAACAACAGAAAAGGTTTTCAAGATAACAAAAATAAGAGACCATTCATTGACAGACAACCTCATGACAATCGTGCCAGAAATGATCACCAGAAGGGCAAATATCAAGAGAGGGTTAACCTTAGGCAGAAGAGGTTGGCTGGTCAACTTCAGAAGCCCAAACTAACCGTCCCTCTGCTCTTGATAGTGTATGGGACTTCTTTCCAACAAAGAAAGCTATGCAAAAGTATGTAAACAGGAAGCATGACCCTCACAAGCATCTGCCCAAAGTGAATCACACTTCAGTTAATATAACTACCAGGTGGACAATGGGTACCACCCACCAAGGTTTCACCTGATGAGACCAAAATGGTACCAACTACCCAGACTCCATGACCACCCAGGTTCCAGCATTGCTTGGGTACCTAAATCTTACTTTTGATCTTGCAGGAACTATGTGCTGGAGCTATCTCAGAGCAAGAATGGTTTATTGATAGTGGATGCTCCAGGCACATGACAAGTGACCGAAGTTGCCTAACCGAGTTCCAGAAATGCAAAGGACCTAGAGTTACCTTTGGAGGTAATGACAAAGAAGGTCAAACAAAAGGAAGAGGAAAGCTGATCAAGAACCAAATAGTCATTGATGATGTCTCATATGTCAAAGGACTGAAGTTCAACTTGCTAAGTGCTAGACAATTCTGTGACAAAGGCTACACTGTTGAATTCACAAAGGACTTCTGTTATGTAAAGCATGAGACAGCAAAGTAAGTGGTTCTTACAGCATCAAGGAAGAAGAACATCTATGTGGTTGATTGGAACACAGCAAAGGATGGAGTGTGCCTGATAGTCAAGGGAGATTCAAAACTAAGCTGGGACTGGCACAAGAAGCTTAGCCATTTGAACTTCAAAACAATCAACAAATTGGCAAGAGAACACATTGTTGATGGACTGCCAGACATAGTCTACAAGAAAGAGACCCTCTGCAGTGCATGCCAGAAGGGAAAGAAACAGAAGAACTCTTTCAAACCTATTACTGGAGATCTTTCTACAAGTCCTCTAAATATGATCCACATGGATTTATTTGGACCTGTTGAAACTCCAAGCGTTGGTGGCAAGAAATATACCCTAGTCATGGTTGATGACTATTCCAGATATACATGGACTATCTTTCTGTCAAAGAAAAATGAAACTCTTCAGAAGTTGTCATCTCTGTTAAAGCAACTTCAGACTGAGAAGAACTTGAAGGTTAAGACAATCAGGTCTGACAGAGGAACTGAATTTGTCAACCAAGTCATAAAGGACTTCTGTGATCAAAATGGAACCTTTCATCAACTCTCTGCCGCCAGAACCCCTCAACAGAATGGCGTAGCAGAAAGGACTCAAGGAGAAACAGGACTTTAAAAGAAGCTGCAAGAACAATGATTGCAGTATCTGGTCTACCTATGAGATATTGGGCTGAAGCAATCAACACTGCATGCTACACTCAGAACAGAAGCATGATCAACAAGAATCACCAGAAGACCCCGTATGAACTCTGGAAAGGAAGAAACCCAAACATCAGCTACTTTCATGTGTTTGGATGCAAGTGCTACATTCTTAACAATGGAAAAGAGCATCTGAAAGTCTTCCAAGAAAAGGCTGATGAAGGTATCTTTATAGGCTATTCAAACACCAGTAAAGCCTATAAAGTACTCAACAGAATGACCCTACATGTTGAACAATCTATACATGTGAAGTTTGATGAAAGCATCTCTGTTAAAGAGGTAACAGAGATCCTCAAGGAAGTCAGCATAGAAAACAGAACACCAGAACCAACAGAAGAGGTAGCAGATAACCTTGCATTTCCAACACCTGCACCAAACCCCCTTTTGTTGAATGAAGATGGAGACTCAGAAGATGAAGAACAAGAAAGACCCAGACAGCAACTGACAGAACCTGATCTGACATGGTTAAGAGACCATCCCCCTAATCAAGTAATTGGACATATCAGAAGTGGTGTGCAGACCAGATCAGCTTCAACAAGGAGAGAAGCAATGCTTGTCTGCTATATATCTCAGATGGAACCCATGACTGTGGAAGAAGCTCTTGCAGACTCAGATTGGATCAATGCAATGCAAGAAGAGCTGACTCAATTTGAAAGGAACAAAGTATGGGAACTTGTTCCTAGGCCAAAGCACCAGAATGTCATTGGAACCAAATGGGTGTTCAAAAACAAAGCTGATGAAGATGGAAACATTGTAAGGAATAAAGCAAGGCCGGTAGCTAAAGGTTATTGCCAAGAAGAGGGAATAGATTTTGATGAGACCTTTGCACCAGTTGCCAGACTTGAAGCCATCAGAATCTTTCTAGCTTATGCTGCATACAACAACATCAAGGTCTACCAGATGGATGTCAAGAGTGCATTTCTGAATGGAGATCTTGAAGAAGAAGTTTATGTGGAACAACCACCAGGTTTTGTCATTCCTACTCACTCCTCCTGTGTCTACAAGCTTAAAAAGGCCCTTTATGGTCTTAAGCAAGCTCCCAGAGCATGGTATGACACATTGTCCCTTTTCCTAGTGAACCATGGGTTTACTAAAGGAAAGGTTGACAAAACTCTATTTCAAATCTCTGTTGCTAATCATATTCTGTTAGTACAAATATATGTTGATGATATTATATTTGGTAGTACTAATCCAGAATTGTGCAAGAAATTTTCACAAGTGACGCAGAGTCAATTTGAAATGAGTATGATGGGAGAACTCAGCTACTTCCTAGGACTTCAAGTCAAACAAGTTCCAGAAGGAATCTTTATCAATCAAGGGAAGTATACCACAGACCTGATCAAGAAATTTGGAGTGGAAGGCAAATCCTCAGTGAAGATTCCCATGAACACCTCTCAAGGAATTGGTCCGGATGATGAAGGAAAGGATGTCGATGCAACAACATACAGAGGAATCATAGGATCTCTGCTGTATCTGACTGCAAGTAGACCAGACATCTCTTTCTTTGTTGGAATCTGTGCCAGATACCAATCAAAGCCCAAGGAGAGCCACCTTAGTGCTGCAAAGAGAATCATCAGATATATCAAAGGAAATCCAAATGCAGGCCTATGGTATCCTAAGGGAGGTAACTTTGAACTAATTGGTTACTCTGACTCAGATTTTGCAGGTTGCAGATTAGACAGGAAGAGCACCTCTGGTCACTGCCAAATGCTAGGAGGAAGGCTTGTTTCCTGGTTTAGCAAGAAGCAGAACTCAATCTCAACAAGTACAGCAGAAGCTGAGTACATTGCAGCTGGGAGTTGTTGTGCTCAGTTACTCTGGATGAAGCAACAGTTGAAGGATTATGGCATTCAAGCAAAGGAGATCAAACTGCTGTGTGACAACACCAGTGCCATTGCCATCACTCAGAATCCAGTTCTTCACTCCAGGACAAAGCACATTGAGATCAGACATCACTTCATCAGAGATCATGTTGAAAAGAAGCACATTTGCATGGAACATGTGCCAACAGAAGACCAGCTTGCAGACATTCTGACAAAGCCTCTTCCTGAGGCTAGATTCAACAAACTGAGAGAGGAATTGGGGATGATGGATGAAATCCCAAGAGAAAGTTGAAAAGGAAGGCCCTCTGTTGCTAAATCTCTGTTAACAGAATACCTGTTGCAGAACCCCTTCTGTTAACCCCCTTCTGTTCTCTACCCTGGCAGAACACCTCAGCAACAGAAACCCTCTCTTCCTTCCTATAGAAAACCTCCTCTTATATCTAACAGAAGGTTGTGGACTTAGAAAATTCTGAAAACCGGGTGAGCTAGCAAATTATTAAAGGTCTTTTACCCTTTTACCCTTAAAACGGTATACAGCCGCATAATATTTACTGCGCCCCTTTTTACATTTATTGGTACCTCGGAACCGTAAATTATCTCAAACGTCCACTAACCCGTACCCATATATTCCCCTCTTTTCAACCTAAATCTCTACTGCTTCCATTACTCTCAAGCTTTTGAACTTTCATCTCTCCAAAACTCTCAATCGCCAAAAACGACCATGGCTTTCTTGAGCTTCACTAATCTTACCAAGGAACAAAAAGCAACCCTGCTCAAGAATGTTTTGACAGGAATGAAATGCGAACTGGATGTTCTACCCAGATTCGCTGAGAAAAAGGAGAGGATGACCACCATTATTGACGGACTGACCGAGTGTCAACTGAGCAAGGTCATCACCCATGCTTATGAAGTTTACAGCAACATCGACACTGTTGAGTTCTATCTCAACGCATCCTTCAAGAATGAAACCATCACCTCCAGTGTCCAAGGAGAAGAAATTTTGGTTGATGCTGACGTCATCAACAAGGTCTTTGATATTCAACTAGAGGAAGGCAGGGCCTCTCTATTTGATTTGGAGGAAGCTGACGTCACTGTACCTGAATTCTAGAGCAATTTTTGCAGAAAAGGAGAAGAAGTGGAGAAGGTGAATATCAAAAAGAATTTGCTCAAGAAGGACTTTGAGCTGCTCATCAACATATTTCACAAATGTGTGTGGTGCAAATTCACCTCTACTGATGATGTCACTACTGCAAATGCTAAGGCTCTGTATGCAGTACATCATGGGGTGAATGTCAACTGGGGTCAGGTAATGGTTCGATCCCTGATTGAATTTATCAAGAAGAAGAACCCCAAGACAGGCCTTTATTCTGGGAAGTTAGGGCATGGACTGCTCATCTCAGCACTGCTCCTCAATCAAGGTGCAACCTTGAGGAAGGCCACACCCCTGGATCACACCAAGGTAATCTTCCTGTCTGCCTCTCCAAAGAGGGAAAAAGCTATAAAGGCAGAGCTGAAGAGACAGATTCAGCTTGATATTAAAAGACAAAAAGGAGAGAAGGTGCAGAAACCCCTCTCTGAAGCCCCTTCTGTTGAAAAGAAGAAGAAGAAGGCCAAGAAGGCAGAACTGGTTGCACCTCCAACCATGAAGGCTGGACAGAAGAGGAAGAGGATCTCAAAAACCAAAAAGAAGGTTGCTAAACCTTTGGTCACAATGTCTGAGGAAGTGACAGACATTTAGGGGGAACCAGAGATCCCCACCTCTGTTGCCTCTCCTGAACAGAATAGGGTGACAACAGAGCACCCCAGTAGTGACAAAGAAGGGTATCTGTCCTTGCTGGATAGACAGTTTGTCCGGGTTCTTGAATGGAGAAGATGGAGAATGGGACCCCTTCACAAAATCATCCAATACTTTGATCACTATGAGCCTGAAGAAGAGGCCATCCTGAAGTGGGTAGGCACTGATGATGTCTCCAAATGCTTTGCCCTCAATTTCCTTCATTCTGTTCTTGAAAAGAAGAAGGCAGGCTACAAGGGAAAGGCTGTCCTCATATCCTCACCCTCAGAAGAGACAGTCAAACCTCTGGAAGAAGGAGAAATAGAAGCTTTTGAAGAATGGCTCTTTGCCAAAATGGCAACAGAATCTGTTCAACCTAACTTCAACCCAGGAGAGCCCTCTGTACCTAAGACAGAAGGGCAAGCTATGATGGAACGCATCAAGGAGTGGAGGACTTCTTTGCTTGAAGACAATATAATTGAGGTGATTTCTCCAACCCCTTATGTTCATATCTCAACAGAACCCCATATCCCCTCACCCCTTATTATCACAGAAACTCCTTCAACACAAACCCCTCCACCAGAAAACCCTCAACCTCATTCCCCTGAACAGAAAACCCCCACCTCTTCTCACTCATCCAAAAAGAAAAACAAATCACCTTGCAGAGAAATTATTCCCTTCAGAAACCGCTCCCCTTCACCACCACCATCTCCTCTTCAACTGAATGCCTCCCCTCAACAAAACACCCCTTCTCCCCAACCTACATCACAGCACCAGAACTCAATCCCGCAACAGCAATCCACCTCCACTCAAACTCATCCTCACCCTCACCCGCAGCAAATTCTCCCAGAACATCTCTACACTCTGCTGCATCTACACCCAAAAGACAGCCTCTTCACCGCATTTTATCCTCAGAGAGTGACAATGGCTTTCTGACATCTTCACTTGCTGGAGATCTCACTTCAAAGCGCCAACCTACTCCTCCCAGAGGACCTTCGCCCAAGAAACCCTCTCTGTAGCAGACCAGAAGGCCTCCCATGCACAAATCTAGAGGACTAGGAATGCCAGAGCCTGAACAATCTATACCTCAGATTCCCTTGAACAAGTTTGTTGAAACAGCAGAGGAATTTGGTGGCCAAGTCCTCCAAGGCATGGACAAGCTCATCCAGATCAATGACAAGCACTTTGAGCACCTTGCTCATGTAAATGATAATCTCAATTCTGGGATGCAGTTCATATCAGATCGCTTTGAAAATCTCACAGAAACACTCCACAATTTCATGGCCTCCTCCTCTGCCAGAACAGATGCACTGTCAACAGAAGTGGTAGGTATCCACAAGACCCTCTCTGTCTTTCAACAAACTCTTCTCAGTCAAGGACAGGCAATCAGCACAATCTCAGAGAATCTTGAGGCTTTGCAAAAATCTGATGCCAGAACTAAGAGGCAACTGATCTCCATCGAGGAAATGTGCAGAGCTCACCAAGATCAAGCTCAACATCTTCTCTCTGCTGACAGAGACAGATACCAGAAGATGGTACTGCTTGAAGCCAACAACAAGGACATCTTCTCTGCTATTCAGAAGCAGCAAGGGCTAATAGAAGTCCTTACTTCTGTAACTCAGACCCTAGCAGAGGCCCTTGAGCAGATAGCCTCCTCTCAGGCCTCAGAGTTTCAGAAGATCAGCATGATGCTAGAGGACTTACATGATGCCAAAAAGGGGGAAGAGGACCCTCAACAAACTAGGCCTCGATCCAACAGAACTTCTGCTAGAACACCATCCTCTGCTAAACCTATAGTAGATCCTGCTCCTTACTTTGAAGCTGCCTTACAGAAGAAGAGAGCAGCAGGTATACCTAGACCCCCATCTCCAGCAAAGAAAGACACTAAGAAGAAGAAAATCCTCAGCTTTACTGAATGGAGATTTGGTGGATCCCAGAGAATTGACAGAGCTCAATTTGAAGAAATGAAGGTAAAAATGACTCTCACCCAACAACAGAATCTCTTTCTGGATAAAGATGGTGTTGTACGAGTCAGATATGGGGGATCCTTAGAAGAAGCTGAAGAATGGTACAAGAAGAATATTGTCCCTGGCAAGACAGTACATGAAGGTGTTCTCAGCTATCTGGATTGCAAGCTCTCTCCCATATGGGCATCTTATCAAAGCTCTGGCAATCTATCTAAGATCAGAGCAGAAATTAATGAAGAGCTGCTAAGGCTTCAAAGATTGGAAGAAGAAGCTCTGCAAGCAGCTAATATGGAGAATGTGTAAGAAATATCTCTGAAAAACATATCTAATAAAATCACATCTCTTCCTTTTCACTTTGTAAGGCTTTTCGTCATTTCCTGTCTCTTTGCTTTCTGTCTGTGTTTGCTTTTTTAATTATTATCTGCTATCTGATTGTACTGCACTCTTACTATTTTCCTATGCCAAGTTGCCCACCAAGATTTTCATGGAAGTTTTTAAACTTTAATTCTTTATGGTGAAGGCCTTTCTCTGGAAATAGTTAAAGGGTTTTGGCATCATCAAAAAGGGGGAAATTGTAAGGAATATTTGTAATTAGATTTTGATGATGCTAGATTAATTAGGACTTTAGAGTACCCCTCTTCAGATTTAATGTATTAGATTTTCCTTTGTAAAATTCCTTAGCATAATCGACTGAGCAGAAGACCTACAGAACAGAAGACCTTCTAAAGCAGAAGGGCTCCAAGGGCAGAAGACCCTTGATAAGGCATTAGTTGAACAGAGGACCTTTGGTTCTCTGCTTCAGAACAGAAAACCTCAGGGTCTCTGTTAACCTTTACTCTGACAGAAACCCTCCTGGTTCTCTGTTGGATATCCTCTCAACAGAAGTGCTCCAGACCTTCTCTGATCAACTCTCTGTTAAAGAAACCAGAAGGCCTGACACTTAGAAGAATTCCACAAAGCCGGGAAATCAACTGGAAGATTCCTTCAACGGCTAGGAGACTTGAACGGAAATGCTACACTGCACGCATTAAATGCACATTTAATGCTCCCCATGCTCCGTAGAGTAATTGCAGATGATTGGCCGCAATGTCAGAATTACTTTATCCCAAAATAGTAACCCGCCAACTTTACCGGGTCCTACTGGTCAAGTCAACTGCTCGCTCATTTAATGCAGTTGTCCTCCTTCTCCTCCAACGGGAAGACAACCTCAGTATAAAAGATACACTACGAAGAACAACTGGATAACTTTGCAACTTCGCTAACCTTTGCTACAACTCTGCATACAAGAAATTCAAACGCTACAAAGAAAAAAGCCTCCTTGAGATTAACACTTCATCATCCTCTACAAGAGAAGGCAGAAGTTGGAAAAATCCTTATTTCCAACTCAAGCAAAGTTCCAAGTGTTCTTCAACTCTTCAAGCTCATCACATACAAACTCTTTGTAACGAAGCAAGTTGGAGGAACCCCTGTTCTAAATAGAACCTCTTCTTTCACAAGAAGGACGTTTAAGTACCTAGAGTTGTGAAGTGGTGATACTTCTGGGAAAGCTCAATGAAAGGACCAGTCTTAGGGAAGCCGGAAGTGCATCCAAGAAGACATCTACACTTGAAGAAGACGTGGAGAGCTTCTTAAGTGATAGGGCTAAGGCATTGTAAACGGAAGTTTTTATAGCTTAGTGGAACAGTGGACTAGAGGAACAAGTTGTTCCTTGAACCACTATAAAAAGCACTGGTGTCATTTACTTACTGCTTTTCATTCATAGTTTTTATTTGAACTGTTTGACTCCAAAGACTTGGTATCTGTGTTCAGCAGAACTGGTCTTGTTAGTTAACAGAAGGCCTACTGCCTTTGCTTCTCTGAGGCTATTAACAGAACTCCCTACCAGAACCCCATCCGCTGCCAGTCTGTTCTGCCAACAGAACAGGCTATTCTGTTAAATCTGCTACTTAGCTTGACAAAGTTAAAAAACCAATACAGTCTATTCACCCCCCCCCCCTCTAGACTGTATCCAGTACAACCGGGACCAACAAAGGTAAAGAACTCCCCGATGGAGGGTGCATCCTCAAGGCTATTCGCAATTTTAAAGTCAAATAAATGCTGCTTTACATACGCCGTCGAGGGTGGGACCCACCCTTTCATTAGGCGCAGCAATGCAATTAAAGTCACCACAAACCATCCATGGTTCGACCAATTGGTCTCCAATAAAGGTCAAATGATCCCAGAGTGCCTTCCTCTCAAGTACCGTATATAAAGGATAGACAAATGTAATAAAAAAGGGGTTTGCGTAATACGACAAACGCACCTAGCATGCAAAAATTGTCTATCTTTTTCCAAAAATATGCAATTTATTAGATTAGGGTTCCACATGGTAGCCATGCGTCCCCCACCAATTAGGTCGAAATTATTTTCAAAAGTCCAACCCGGCCACTTATTTATAACATAGTTGTTAAATGCGGCCAAGGTCATTTTAGTTTCCAAAAATCCAACTAAGCAAATATTATTTAGCTTAATATAGGAAGCGATTAAATTATGTTTAGAGGTCTTATTTAAACCCCTAACATTCCACATCATGAGTCGCGACATCAAGAGAGATAGAGATCCGTGGTGGGTCCTCCACCCTAGGAAGCTTTCTTCCTTGCACTCCTTCGCTCCCTCCTCAAAAGCTCCTTATAATAGTTGACGTTGTTCTTGCTACAAGGATCAAAAAAGGATAATACGTTAGCAATAAAAATATAAGGGTCAAAATCATACCATGTGGCGTTACGTTTGACCCTCGGAAGCTTTATGATGTCTTTATGCGTGAAGTAGATCCCCGGAGAGTCCTCACTTGTAACCAGTTTGAGATCAGGCCCAACTTTTATCAATGTATCTCCATCCGAGAGCTCATCAAGATCTATGATAGTAGCAAGCGGTCTTTTCTTTTCATCCAAGAAGACACCGGTAACAATGTCTTTGGAGCCCATTTCATACACGCTCCTAATAACAAAGCCCCGTGACATCCTTTCCAAAGCTTCCTTACCATCCTTATCCTTAGTAATCACCATAAGATAATGTTTTTCTTTTGAATATTTAACGGTAGGGCTCGGATTTGTACCCAAAGATGGAGTGAGTAGACTCCTTGGAATAGAAATCCCATTATTAGTCACCAATGGCCTAGGTTGCGACTCCTTAGCAAAAGACGTTGAAGCAACATCTTTCACCTCTTGCGGTTTCACCTTGGCTTTTCTTTTGTTTCGGATAACTTCTTGAAAGGGGGGGTCAACCTCAACGGCTATGCCCTTCCCCTTATCAAGCACGGTCTCCTTCCCTTTTTGTTGCACCGCGGCATTCGCCCCATTGCCCATAGGCGTGGCAGCTTTGTTGGAAACCAAATGCGGGTTGAGAACTTTACAATCAAAGGGGTGATGGCCATACGTCTTACAATGGTAGCAATACTCCGGGTACGTCTCATATAAAACCCTTTGAACATATTCCTTGCCCGATGGAGGAATGATTGGAAAATTAAGGACCAGGGGTTTGGATACATCCACTTCAACGAGTACACGAGCATATTTTGTAAACGTCTTTTCTTGGGTGACCTTATCGCTAGTGATAGGTACCCCAATATGGGAAGCAATTTTCCCAATCTCTTTAGCACGCCATAGCCTCAAGTGTAGATTTGGGATTCACCCAAATAGGAACTCTCAAGAACTCTTCACTCTCAAAGGAGAAATCATCGGATAATGTCTTAAGGAACATGGTTTTCCCATAGAGGACATAAGGGCCCTCGGTGAGTACCTTAACCCGGTCCTCATCACTTTTGAATTTGAAAATAACCCAACCTTTGCTATGGGTTTTGATATCAACTTGGACACCCCATTTTTTCGTCATGCCAAAGATAGCTTTAAGGTTCGGAAACCTACCGGAGAAGTGCCCAACCAAACAATAACCCCATATTTCAATAAGGGTTGGTACTTCAAGATGAGAAAAATCAAGTTTTTCCCCGGTAGGAGGAAAGTATTCAAGCTTGAATCCATTTGAAGGTGCACGGTTGTCCCTAAATAACGAGACATACGTCATTGGTTCTTCCTCAAAGTCTTCATTCAAAGAATCCGTATCATGGGACCCAAGGGAAATAGAGCCCTCCGGTTCACCCTTGCTATGTGGGCTGTTTTCATCCGAGGTTTCAATGGTAGGGGCATCCCTATCCACAACAGTCTTACACATAAGTGAGAGTTTAGGTGATGCCGCGGCATTAGTAGAGTTGGAATCCAACCCCACCAGCTTCTCAGCAAAGGACGCCTGTGATGCCGCGGCTTTAGGAGATGCCGCGACGTGATGTCCCTTAGTGCCCACAGATGCCGCAGGCTTAGTTGATACCCCAGCCATGTTGCCTCCAATGCCCATAGAAGCTACATCATTTGAAGGCTTTGGATGCTCCTGTGCCTTAGCAAAAGCCCCAGCAGAGTTGGAAAAGATAGGATCCATAGTATTGATACCTCCTTCATTGGGATTGTCTTTTTTAGCTTCCCCTCCTCCATAGCAGTTTTTTTGGCCAGTAGGTCTTTCACTTTATCTTCAAATTGCTTGTCCTTGGCCGGTGGGGTCCGCAACTGCTTGTTTTTCCTTGTCATGGCCGAGGCTCAACTAGGATTCCACAAACAAAATTGCACAGAATAATCCCAAAATAATTTTGAAGATACCCCTCAGCGTAAGGAACAACCTGATATGGTTAGTTTTCAAAAAGAACACACAACAATGCCTGGAAAAGTCCCTAACTGGTTCTGGGTTCGTAGGAATTACTGTAGCACCTCCCAGGAAGTTGAGAAAGATGAACAGTAACTCATAGACCAAAAATTAGTCAGAAAAATCCACAAAAATCACAAAACGTTCTCCTCAAGTAGGAGAAGCTAATGGTATAACAATATTTCACAAAAAGCAAGCAGATAATTCCCAGAAAATTCAAAGAGCATGGGTACCTGCGCACAAGTACTGTAGAAATTCGAAAGTATGGGAGGAATTGAAAAGCTTACTCAAAATTTATGAAAAAGGTACCAAAATCTTCGCCTTGGGCAGATGATTCTATTACTGGCCTCAAAACTGAGTTTGAACGACCAGATTTGGAGAAAAAACAAGGTCAACGGCCTCCTGTGAGCAGTGCACCGTCACAACGGCTCTCTTCAATATCCGGTACGGCGGTGGCGTGGTGGCTGGAGACCAAGCGTGGGAGGTGCGCCAGAGGCTGGCGACCCCCAACCAACCTCCTTCTTCCATAAACAACCCTCCAGAAGCAAATCGAAGCCAACTTTCTAATTTGGGAATAAACAGTGCCCGAAAAAGAGGGAACTTCCAAGATCTTCGTAGCTTGCTAGAAATCCAAGATTTCCCAAATCCAATCGGTAGATAAGAGAGCCCTATAGATTCGAGCAAGGAACAGGAAAGAAATCAAGGATTAATCGATGGATTTGGTCGAAAGAGCGAAGAACACGAGCGTGCTAAACAGTTCTGACCCAGGTGTGCGAAAAAGTTTAGAGAGAAGTGGGAGGTTTTCTCAACGCGTGTTACGAGGACAATGTTACTTTTTTTTGGATGAAATGTAAATATATATTGACACCCAAAGAAAAACTATACATCATGGGTTTTAGATCTCCTAAACCCCCCCACCCCTACCTAGCGTAGGGGTTAGGAGAGGTTTTTATTCGATCTAGTCCAAAATCAAAAATCAGGGCCTAAGTATATTATACCCAATGCCCGAGGCTTAAACAAAATCAGAATCAGTGCTGCAAGTGTGCACACACATAGCTCCACCAAAAAAGAATCAAGCCTAAGTTAAAGGAGGTTATGGTGTGCTCCTCTAACTCCAAAAATCAAAACTAAGACGTCGTGATGCAAGCTGCATCCATACTGCTCCACATGCCGCAGCTTCAGAAGTCTCCCATGCCGCGGCTTCATGCCGCGGCTTCATGCCGCGGCTTTGAAAAGTCCAAAGTCCTCCTCAAAACTTAATCATCTCACATGGGTATAGGTTGAAGAGTATCTTATATACCACGTGCTTAATTTTAGCAACTAGCTCATCTTCATTCTTGTTTGAGTCATCAAAACGGTTAGCGTTCCTAGCGTGCCAAATGTGATATATAGTAGCACAAAAGGCAGCCCGAACAGCTTTTCCCATCAACTTTGATCCCTTGTGGTCCTTCAAGATCCATTTGACTGAGCTAGACATCGTGGTCATTTGATGCGCCAACCCAAGCCAAGTCCTAATGCGCTCCCAAACCCTACAAGTGAAAGGGCAAGCAAAGAAAAGGTGTGGCATTGACTCCAAGCCACCCTTGCAAAGGTCACATCTATTCACAATATGCAAATATTCAAGGTTATCCTGGGTAGGTAACCTATTCCGGAACGCAAGCCAAACATTAAACGAGAATTTGGGAGGGATGTAAGATTTCCATATGAAGCTCATCCATACCTTAGCCGTCCCCTTTGTTCTCAATAATTCATAAATTTTGCTCGAAATCAGTTTACCGTTGATAGATCTAGAGGCTAAACCCATAACAGTATCATTTAAGTTATGAAAATGACCTTTGATTTTATCCCTTGTTAAAGCCAAACTCTTCATGAAAGTCGAATCACGGCTGTGTGGGATGAAGTCCCACACACTTCTGCCCTTGAGGTAAATCCCATTAACCCACTTTACCCAAAGAGTGTCCTTCTTAAGGTGGACATCCCATAGCGTTCGGGAGAGGAGGGCCTGATTCCAAACCTTGGCATTACGAATACCAATGCCCCCTTCCCCTTTGGGAAGGCAGATATCATCCCATGCCACTTTGGCATACTTCCCCCCCATAGGAACACTCTACAAATGGAAACAATACGATCCAAGATGGTCCGAGGTACGGGAAAGACTTGGAGCCAAAAGGATTGGACCCCTTGGATCACAGATCTAACTAGCTCAATCTTCCCGGCATAAGAAATAGATTTTGTATTCCATGCATTCAAAAAGTCTAAAATTGTATCAAGCAAGGGGGCATATTGTGCCACCGAGACTTTAAGAGGGGCAAGGGGAATCCCTAAGTATTTAACCGGAAACTCACCCTTCCCAAAATCAACTATGTCCATAATGTTTTGTAACTCAAATTCATTAACCCCACGTATAAAGATGTTAGATTTGTTGTAATTCACCCTAAGGCCCGATGCATCCCCAAATTCTTGTAGCGCTTTGACAAGAGTTTCAATTGAGACCTTGTCACCCCTAGAGAATAGCATTAGATCATGTGCATAGGCCAAATGCGCAATCTTAAGAGGCTCTCATTTAGGATGAAATTTAAAATTCGGATTTTTGGTTTTCAAGTTAAGAAGTCGAGAAAAGTATTCAAGGCATAGCACAAATAAGAGGGGAGACATTGGATCTCCTTGACGAATACCCCTTTTTCCCTCAAAAAACCCATAAAGTGATCCGTTTAGAGAAACAGAAAACGATGTCGTGGTAACACATGCCATAACCCAACCCACATATCTCAAAGGGAGGCCCAGGCCCTTGAGAACCGCCTCAAGGAAATCCCAAGAAATAGTATCATAGGCCTTACGCAAATCCACCTTGATCATACATCTTGGTGAAATTCGCTTTCTCGTGTATCCTCTAACAAGTTCCTGAGCAAGGAAGATGTTATCAATCATGAGACGGCCATCCACAAAAGCGCCTTGGGCATGATCAATTAATCCCGGAAGACACGGAATTAATCTATCCGCAAGAATTTTCGTAATAACTTTGTATAGGACATTCGTACACGAGATGGGTCTATAGTCCGAAACTTTTGGGGAGTGGTTTGTTTTTGGGATAAGTGCTATGACAGTGTGGTTGATCTGTTTTAGCAACTTTCCCAAACTAAAAAACTCCTTAACCGCTAGGACTATGTCATTCCCAACAACATTCCAATTCGCCTTAAAGAAGGCAGATGAAAATCCATCCGGACCCGGAGCCTTATCATTGCCAATATCAAATAGGGCATTTTTAATGTCCAACGATGTTACCGGGGCAATGAGGCTCGCATGAGCACTTGGCTCAATTGATGGACCCGAAGGTAAAACCAAGGGGTCCAGGTCCAGGCAGGTGGCATTAGTTCCAAATAAATCAATAAAAAAGTTTACAAATTCATTTCCCACTTGATCCAAAGAGGTGGTAAGGGTACCATCCTCCAAGGTAAGTGATGAGATAGCATTCCTTGTCAGGTTCCTCTTGACGATTGCATGGAAATATTTGGTGCACCTGTCCGCCTCAAGTATATGCGTAGCCTTAGCCCTCCGTTGGAAGAAGGATGTTTTGGCCTCACCTAGGAAAATAGCATTCTTTGAAGCCATGGACAGTTGGGCCTTGATTTCTTGATCCCCCGGATCCAGAAATGCCAATTTATGCAACCGTTTGAACTCTTCCTTTGCCCTCTTTGCCCTACAAGAAATATGACTAAATTCCGTGGCGTTGAGATTTTTTAGGGGCCGTTTAAGTCCCTTAAGTTTCTTCACCAACCTGAATTGAGCCGTACCTACAAAGTTCTGACTCCAATGCGAGGCTAAGATATTAGCAAAATCAGTGTGTTTAAGCCACATATTAAAAAATTTAAACGGTTTGGGTCTAGAAGAGGAGTTTAAGAGTATTGACACTACGGATGCCGTATGGTCAAACTCGACCTCCATTTCATGGAAATGGACCCTACAACCAATGCTTTTGATTCCCCACACATCATTTATTAGTACACGGTCCAATTTTGCCCAAAGTGCGCCTTTGTTCCAAGTGAAGAACTCTCCCGTGGAGGGTGCATCTTCAAGGCTATTGGCAACCTTAAAGTCAAATAAATGTTGCATTACATACGCCGTAGGGGGGGTGGGACCCACCCTTTCATTGGGCGTTGCAATGCAATTAAAATCGCCACACACCATCCATGGTTCGGACACTTGGTCCCCAACCAAAGTCAAATGGTCCCAAAGGGCCTTCCTTTCTAGGACCGTGTATAGTGGATAGACAAACGACACAAAGAAAGGGGTTTGTGTAATGCAACACACACACCTAGCATGCAAAAATTGTTTATCTTTTTCAAGAAAATCCACCTTGATTAAGCTCGGATTCCACATAACCGCAATTCTACCTCCATTAATCAAGTCAAAATTATTTTCAAAAGTCCAACCCGGCCACTTATTTGAAATATAGTTATTTAATGTGGCCAAAGTCATTTTAGTTTCCAAAAAGCATACAAAACAAATATTATTTGATTTGATATGAGATGCAATTAAATTATGTTTAGAGGCCTTATTTAGGCCTCTAACATTCCATACCAAACATTTTGTCATCAAGTGAGATAAAGGTCCGTGGTGGGGCCTCCACCCACGGTTGCACTCTTCCTTGCACTCCTTCTTTCTCTCCTCAATAGCTCCTTGAAGTAGTTGACATTGTTTTTGCTTCAAGGATCAAAGAAGGAGAAAACATTAGCAATAAAAGTGTTAGAGTCGAAGTCATACCAAGTGGAGTTGCGTTTCACCCCCGGGAGCTTAATTATGTCACGGTGCGTGAAATAGATCCCTGGAGCATCTTCACTTGTAACCGGTTTGAGATCAGCCCCAACTTTTATAAGTGTATCCCCATCCGATAACTCATCAAGGTCGATTATAGTAGCAAGCATTCTTTTCTTTTCATCCACAAACACCCCGGTAACAATGTCTTTGGAGCCCATTTCATACACGTTCCTAATAACAAAGCCCCTCGGCATCTTTTCCAAAGCCTCCTTGCCATTTTCGTCTTTAGTGATAACCATAAGATCATGATTTTCTTTTGAGTACTTGACTGTAGGGCTCGGCTTTATAGCTAAAGTAGGAGAGAGTAGACTCTTTGGAATAGAAATTCCATTGTTAGTCACCAATGGCTTAGGTGGCGGCACCTTGGCATAAGACGTTGAAGCAACATCTTTCACCTCTTGTGGTTTCCCCTTTGTTTTCCTTTTGTTTCGAACAACCTCTTGAAATGGTGGGTCAACTTCATTTGCTACGCCCTTCCCCTTATCAATCATGGCCGCATTCCCTTTTTGTTGTCCCGCGGCCTTTGTTCCATTAGCCTTAGGAGCCGGAACTAAGTGAGGATTGAGCACTTTGCAATCAAAAGGGTGGTGGCCATACATCTTGCAATGGTAGCAATACTCCGGGTGCGTTTCATATAGGACTCGTTGGACATACTCCTTGCCCGATGGAGGAATGATAGGAAAATCAAGGACCGGGGGCTTGGATACATCCACTTCAATGAGTACACAGGCGTATTTGGTAAAAGTCTTTTCTTGGGTAACCTTATCCGTGGTGATAGGCACCCCAATTTGGGAAGCAATTTTCCCAATCTCCATAGCACGCCATAGCCTCAAGTGTAGATTTGGAAACTTTACCCAAATAGGATCATCGGATAATGTTTTAAGGAACATTGTTTTCCCAAATAGAACATATGGGCCTTCGGTGAGTACCTTAACCCGGTCCTCATCACATTTGAATTTGAAGATAACCCAACCTTTGCTATGGGTTTTGACATCAACTTGGACACCCCATTTTTTAGTCATGCCAAAAATAGATTTTAGGCCCGGAAACCTACCAGAAAAATGGCCAACCAAACAGTAGCCCCATATCTCAATAAGGGTTGGCACTTCAAGATGAGAAAAGTCAAGTTTTTCCCCGGTAGGAGGAAAATATTCAAGCTTGATTCCATTGGAAGGTGCCCGGTTGTCCCTAAATAAAGAGACATAGGTCATAGGTTCCTCCTCAAAATCTTTATAAAGTGACTCAGTGTCATGGGACCCAAGGGAAATGGAGCCCTCAAGATCATCATTGTTATGGGGGCTGTTTTCATCCGAAGTTTCAACGATAGGTGCATCCGGGTCTTCCACAGTTTTGCAAACCAATGATAGTTCAGCTGATGTCGTGGCATTCGAAGAGTTGGAGTCCATCCCTAGTAGCTTCTCAGCGAAGGACACCTGTGATGTCGCGGCTTTAGGAGATGCCGCGGCTTTAGTAGATACCGCGGCATAGATGCCACGGCATAGATGCCATGCCCAGTAGCACCCTCCGGTGTCACACTCTTGGACAAAGTCCCAACCAAGTTTCCATCACTCCCCATAGAGGCTACATCACTTGATGACCCAGAATGCCCCTGCACCTTAGCAAAAGCCCCAGAAGAGTTAGCAAAAATAGGATCCATAGAAGGGGATAACTCCTTCATTGGATTAGCCTTTTTCAACTTGCCCTCCTCCATAGCAGCTTTCTTGGCCAGTAGGTCCTTGACCTTGTCTTCAAATTGCTTATCCTTAGCCGATGGGGTTCGCAATTGTTTGTTTTTCCTTGTCATGGCCGAAGCTTAACAAGGAGTCAACAATCAAAAATGTGCAAAACAGACCCAATAAAGTTTTGGAGAAGCCCCTCAACTTATGTAACACCCTGCCATGGTTAGTTTTCACAAGAAACACACAACAAAGCCAGGAAAATTCTCTAATCAGTTTTGGATTCGCAGGGTTACTGTAGCACCTAACCGTTGGGGAAGATGAACATTAACACTTGAAATCAAAACTAAACAGAAAAATTTCAAAATTTCACAGAATGTTCTTCACAACACGGCGAAGCTAATGGTGTAACAATATCCCACAAAACGTAAGCAAAAACTACCCAATAAATTCGAAAAACCAAAGTACCTGCGCACAAATACTGTAGACTTCGAAAATAAGGGAAGAATTGAAAAGCTTACTCAAATTCCGTGGAAGAGGTACGAATAGCTTCGCCTTGAGCAGATGGTTGTATCGGTAGCGTCAAAATAGAGATTGAACGACCAAAAACGGAGAAAAACCGAAGTCAACGGCCTCCTGTGAACAGTACACCGCCGCAACGGCTTTCTTCAAACTCCGGTACGGGTTGGGAATTAGGGTTCGATTCCGGAGACGGGTGACGGAGAATTAGGGTTCGATTGAATGACGCGAGTTGGGAATTAGTGACGCGAGTTGGGAATTCTCCGCCTTCTCTCTAAACTATTTCACACCCCTGGGTCGGAATTGTTTTGAACGCTCGTGTTCTTCGCTCCTGGGACCAAATCGTTCGTTTAATCCTGGATTTCCTTCTTGTTCCTGGCTCGGAATCTTAAGGGCTTTATCATCTATCATTTGGTTTTGAAAAATCTTGGATTTTTAGCCGGTTACGAACTTCTTGGAAGTTCCAGAGTTTTCGGACACTATTCCTTTCCCGAAATAGAAAGTTGCGTTTGATCTGTTTTAAGGACAATGTTACTTTGTTTCACGTGACGTTACTTTTATTGAGATGCAATTTCCTTATGCCAACACGGGTAATGGTGAAATTTCACGGCCAGCTATGGAATGTGGGATGTTACGAGTGATCCTAATTACATGGTGGGCTCCCATGACTCTGGCACTTCACAAATGGTCATGACCAGTGATATGACATCACCAAATTTACACCTTAAAGGTGTTGATATGCACGTGGAATCAGGTGGTGCAACCTCAGGTGAGTCATCATCCTTAAATTCCCAGGAGGCTCGATCAACTACCACGACAAACTCCCCAAACCGAGATACTACACCCGTACGTAGGGCACTCGACTCAAACAACAATCAGTATGGCATAAAGACTACGAAGTGCAACTCAATACTATGAAAATAGATACTCCACCCGTGTGTCACTCCTCTCCACCGGCTGACTTCGGTAATCCGTATCCCTTATCTCATTATGTAAATTATAATCGTTTTTCCGTACACCATTGTGCCTTTCTTGCAGCTATTTCAGTGACAAAGGAGCCCAGCCTGTTCCGTGAGGCAGTGCGTGACCCCAATTGGCGTGCCGCCATGCAAAAGGAAATTGATGCGTTGGAGCGTACCAGAACATGGGAGCTGCGGGATCTCCCTCCTGGTAAGAAACTTATTTTTTGCAAATGGGTTTATAAAATTAAATACAAAAGTGATGGCAGCATTGACCATTACAAAGTTCGTCTCGTCGTATGCGGCAATCGGCAAGTTCAGGGGATTGATTATGATGAAACATTTGCCCCTGTTGCCAAGATGGTCACAATACGTACTCTTTTAGCTATTGCTGGGTCACGCGGTTGGGAGATACATCAAATGGACGTAGACAATGCTTTCCTACATGGTGATCTTCAGGAAGAGGTATACATGCATTTGCCCCCTGGCTATTCATCCTCTAAACCTGGGCAGATGTGCAAATTATTGCGCTCTCTTTATGGTTTGAGACAGGCACCACGTTGTTGGTTCTCTAAGTTGACTGATGCGCTCCTTAATTATGGATTCTCTCAGTCTCATGCTGATTATTCCTTATTCACTCTTCATCGTGGAAGTCACATGTTATGTATTCTGGTATATGTGGATGATCTACTTATCACTGGTACTAGTGCTGAAATGATCTCTACTTTCAAAATTTATTTGGCTGGGAAATTTCCCGTCAAGGACTTGGGTTCTGTGAAATACTTTCTTGGCTTGGAGGTAGCACACAGTCCGCATGGTATTTTTGTATGTCAACGGAAGTATGTTTTGGATATTCTTGCTGAGACGAGGTTGACGGGGGCCAAACCAGCTGATTTTCCTATGCCCCAAAATCTTGGCCTCCAATCCGACGCTGGTCCATTATTTTCGGATCCTGAACGCTATCGTCGCTTGGTTGGTAAACTCATCTACCTCACGCTCACCCGCCCAGATATCACCTATTCCGTCCATATTCTATCCCAATTTATGCAAACACCTAGGCGGGCTCATTGGGATGCAGTAAACCGAGTACTTCGTTATCTCAAGGGTCATCCAGGAAAGGGAATTGTTTTCAAACGCAATACACCACTTTCTCTTCTTGGCTATTGTGATTCAGATTGGGCTAGTTGTCCCGTCACGAGACGTTCTGTTACTGGTTATTTTGTGACACTTGGCGGCTCTCCTATTTCTTGGCGCACAAAGAAGCAAGCTACGGTTTCCCGCCCTTCGGCTGAGGCAGAATATCGGTCCATGGCTACTCTTACATGTGAACTACTGTGGTTGAAAAGTCTTTTTTCATCCTTACGAATTCAGCTTATGCCCATACAACTCTTTTCTGACAATAAATCCGCACTTCATATTGCTTCCAATTCCGTGTTCCACAAGCGTACCAAGCACATAGAGCTCGATTGTCATTTCATCCGGGATCATGTTCGCTCCGACGCCATTATTTCGTCCTATATATCTACTTCAGATCAACTGGCGGATATATTCACTAAAGCCCTGGGTGCATCCCAATTCCATTATCTTCTTGGCAAGATGGGCATTCAAGACCCCCATGCTCCATCTTGAGGGGGGTGTTGATATTATTTATGTACATTTACGTACACATGCATGCAGTGATATTGATTATTTAATATTATTTATCTCTTGTACCAAAGGACATGTATCAATTTTAACTACTAGCTAACGTATAGGAGTAAATTACTCGAGCTGGCATCTAACGTAGTGCGCAGCTGTAGGACACTTTAGAGACACAATCAACAGGAATCACAAATTAAAAAGCTGTTTGGTAGAATTTTGTGCATTAGAGACAGAATTAACAGGAACCACAAATTATTTACTCTCTCAGTCCCAAATTGTAAGATACATTTACTATTCACTTGGTCAACTTAAATCGATCTTAATCTTTTACTTTATATATCAAAAGTTTATGAAATTTGAATTATTTTTTGCAGGTTTTGTAGCGGTTTTTATGTAGTTTCTAGATATGTAAATTTTATTTTCTAAAACTAATTTGAGTGTTTACAGGGATCAATTTGCTTTATCGTCGGTCAAACATCGTAAACCGTAATGTATCTTACAAAATGGGACGGAGGGAGTATTTAAAAGAGATAAATGTGCTAGATGGTATGTAGTAGTCCATAAACACCACACTTTAGAATGGTTTTACATAGTATTTACTTGTCTTTTGTACAATTACGGTGTAACTTTTATCTTCTACTCCGTAAAGACTAAAATTAGAAGATATTAAGTGATTTGATATTTAAGTAACAAACATGATATAAAAGCAAGATGAAATGACTTGGAAACATAAGGAAGGAGCTTGGAGACAAAAGGAAACTTCATGTGAAATAAACAAATATGAAAAATCCGATTTGGTCACACACTCCCGGTCAGGTATGATTTGACCCGAAGATCATACGAGATAAAACGAAGAAAGAGAAAGGGGGAAATCAAATTTGGTCTTATACCCAGTTTGGTATATTGACATGCCCGGTCAGGTATGACTAGATTTCAACACTTTGGTAGCTACTGTCAAGAATAACCGGTCGGGTATCCTAGATACCTGGTCTGGTATCTCACCCAACCACCTCATTTCCCCTATAAAAACACTCATTCCCTTCCTATTTTGCACACCCATCAATCCCCTCTTCCATATAGACTTTATTCTTGTAATTTAGGTAGTCTTTGGAGCTTGGAATTGCTATATATATTGAAGCTTGTGATTTGTAAGTTGTGAGTTGTTTCTTTAATCTCATCTCTTAAGCATTAGTTACTTCCATATTGATATTTCATATTGATATTTGAGCATCACTAAGTTATCAACTAGTTGATGTTTTAATATTGATTATTACTAAAATCGGCCAATGAATACGCGTGTTATTCACTTGACCCTTTCTTAAGTAGTATCCTTAGATTATTAATGCATGCATGTCATGGTTAATAATAAAAGAGACAGTAATTATATTAATTAAACCGAAAAACCGCTTGTGTTGAGGTTATCAATCTTAATTGATTTTATCAGATGACAAATGGATTAATTAGATAAATTAGCTGGACCTGAAACTCTCATGGTGACAACAAAAAACACTCACCTCAGGTTACAATTTGTCGTTCTTAATTGATTTCATTAAATCAACTGAATGCTACTATTAAGATAAATATATGACGCTTGTTCTATATTGAACAATTAATAGTAAGAGTTATTAAAGAATGTGTCTCGTTATTAATAACTATCTTTGATGAAATGGACGATTTAATCTCCACAATTAAGTATTCATGAGGAGAGAGTTAAAGTAGTAATTGTGATCAACAAACAATTCACTAAGTGAAAAATAGCAAAAACAACACTCATTACCTTTGATATTATTTTAATTCATTCATCTTAGCTTTTTTATTTTATTTCTCAATTACCACAATACTCAACCCCCATTCCGTTTACTTTGATTTATGACACTTACACACATGCCAGAAGTATCTTTCCTTGTGCATACGAACTCTACTACGATATAACATGGTATTAGTCCTTAGTAGTGAATTTATTTAGATACACATACGACTTTAGTGCCGTCAAGAGAAAATGGTGGAATTAGTAGAAAAACCAAAAAAGAAAAAATTGGCAAAGTTATATCGGACAAAGAGAGTATTATTTACTACTCTGTATTAGTTTCCTAATTAGATTACTATTGTTGTTTCCTCAGTTTAGTTAGTTTCTTATTATCAATGTATTCCTATTTGGATTTGGGCTCTTATGATCGATACCTATACTAGGGACCCTGATATTGATTAATAAAGTACTTTGGATTTTGGAAGAATTAATTCTTATTATCATTGAATCCTTCAATATGCATGTAGTGAAGTAGGTGAAGATTTTTATAGCTCGACTACATGAGACAGTTTGCATAGAAGTGATTTTTTTATGCAAACCCGTAACTAGGGGTGGACTCGGGCCGGTTGGCTCGACCCGGAACCGGCCCGGAACCGGCACTGTGCTGAACCGGCCCGGCCCGGTGGCCCGGCCGGTGACCGGTACGGGTATCCCGGTGCGGGCTCGGGTCACCCAAAAGCCGAACCGGCCCGGCCGGTTCGGGCCCGGTTCCGGGTTTTTTATTTTTTTTTTCAATTTTTTTAACTTTTCGGGTTGGTCTGGGTATTTTGGGCCATTTGGAGTGGTTTGGGGGATTGGGGATGGGAGGGGGGTTAATTAGTAAAAGGAATAAAAAATGACCCGAGGCCCGGACTAGACCCGGACCGGACCCGGTGGCTACCCGGGCCGGTCCCGAGCCCACCTATTCAGAATAGACCCAGAACCGGCCCAACTCGAATCCACCCCTACCCGTAACGTAACTGCAAATGCAAATTCGTTTAATTTCCATGATAGCTGGAAACATCGAACCTGTGTCTAGATCAACAACCCCTCCAGCCTACCATTTTTTATGTGTGAAACATCACCTACCCAACTCAGCTTTCCCCCATTCAAAAAAATTACCCAAGCCGAGCCACTCGCGCAAAAGGGTTGTGTTAAAATTGTGATTAGGGTTGGGTGTATTGGTTTGGTTGAACCAAACCGAAACGTAACATACCTAAACCATATGCAATTTGGTTTGAGTTTTGTAGTATTTCTTCTAAACTATATTAAACTGAATCGAAATCTAGATAAACCAAATAAAACCAAATCAAACTAAAGAAATTCGACAAAAACTTCATATTTCCTCGGTTCCATTGGACTTTGTTAATTTTTCCTTTTTGGTTGTCCCAAAAAACTTTATTACTTTCCTTTTAAATCAACTAATTTTTAGTCCTGCTCATTTCTCTCTTCTCTGCACAAATCTCAACCACACTATGAGAGATTTAAACTGAACAAATTTAAATTGAACAAACCTCAAACCTCCACAAATTTAAACTGAATTAAACCGAATCCATTAAGAGATAGTTTGGTTTTTGTGCAGTAGTCATTCTTCACACCCATTTCAAACCGATTCGAATCGAAAGCCAATAAAATCAAACCAAAACCGATATGTCCACCCCTAATTGGGATGATTTGTGGGTTAGACGATATCGTGCAAGAGATATATTATTCTTCCTTGATCTTGTGGACGAGGAATAGTCCATGGACTTCACCGAATCAAAACACAATCAACCCTTATATGTCCACGTGATGACCAGGTTTGGTTCATCTTCACATGCATTTAGGCGTCCGCCTATAGGACTGGCTATCCATAAATATATATGTAACATAGTTTTGCTTCAACTTTTCAAATATATCCTTGCTCTATGTCAAATCAAGAAAAATTTGGATAATTTACTTGAGACTTTTTGATTAAAAGTGATTTGCTTTTATAGAACGAGAACTTCTTGTTAGGACATATATAAAAGAAAAGTGAGAACTTATTTTTGGGACAGAGATAATAGAATATACGGAGTAGAATTTACTGTCGTTATCAATAAGAACGGAGTAAAATGAAATGTTTAGACAAGTTATAAAATAGAGTGAATTACCTAAATAGGATAACAAAGTGGCCCTAGAACACAAATTGGACTACATCTTTTAAATTCCCCCTAGTAGAACTATTTATGTGTGTTTGGATAAATATACCCTTGTAGCTTTTAAAATGTATTAATAATAAAATCATAAAAAATAAAAAAACATATTAAAATAATAAAAACGTAGAAAAATGATAAAAAAATTATAAAATATAAAACTAAAAAATTTAAAAATATATAAAAAATAAAAAAATTAAAAAAAATAAAAACGTAAAAAAAACACCGCCACCTCAGCCACCCCAAGCACCACCAGCTACCATCACGGCTTTGAAATTTGCCATTTTTTTTTGCAATG